AAAAAAAAAAAAAAAAGACAATACATATTAAATATCCAAATTATTCTATATTCCAATGGGCTATTACAATGTCTACATAAAGGAATATCCAAGAATTCCCAAAGTAGGAGGATCTTTGAGGCAAGATTATGATCCACCGTTTCGAAAAGTTTATTTGTCATACTCTTTTATAAATAAAAATATATAATCAAAATATCATACTTGTTTTATGTTATTCTTTTTAGATTATAATTTTTAATATGAAACTATGAAGTATTGCCATATTTATTTTTAATATTTTTAATCATATGCCATTACATATATATTTTGTGGTAGGACTGATATTTTACAAATATTCTTTTAAATATTCCTATTACCACTTAGAATAAGAATAACCATTTACTAAATGGTTAATAAGAATAATCTATATATATATATATATATATATATATATATATATATATGCATTAATTGTTTCTATAAACACTTTTTCAAATAAATCTATATTTATATAAAAAGTCATCATATTTACTAAATTTAGTAACAACAAAAGTCAAAGGATAATTAATGCATTCGATTTTTATCATTTTTTAATTGTATTATTATTTTGTACCTAAAAAACCGATCTGCGTTAATTCTATCCTTAATTGGGAAAATTCGATGCTACAAGTACTGGTACTGCCTTCACATATTCAAATGGTGACACGTTACTTATTTAATTATTTTTCTTTTTCATCCGTTCAAAACTTCAAACAAAAATACATGGTGAACCATGGTTAAGTAAAAAAATTCATCATCCCCTCCAAAATTTGCCTGGCGCCACTTCAAAAATTTTGAAATCTAAACTTCAAAATTTTCACTACATGCTATATAAATCATCTTCAAATATTTGTTTTTCATATTATTTTTTTCAGATCCAAAATTTTTTCATAAATTTTTTTTCCTTCTTTTCTTCAGATTAGGGTTTAAAGGGGTCAAAAGGGGCGATTTCCCGTGAGCGGATTCACGGAGAAGAAGAACCACCCACGGTGGAACAAGGGAAAGAAGACGAAGCCCGCCGCCACTCCTAGCCAATCGCCGCCGCCACCGGCGATCGGAAAACCGATGACGATGATTGGCCCGTGCTCTTCTCCCTCCAAGGCCTCGCCATTTTCTGGACTAACAAATCGAATCAAAGAATCGATTTTTATGTTCTTTTACGAAAAATTGTGTGAAATTGAAGAGAGCCCAACCTCAATTTGCTCCTCGTTTTGTTGATGTGAATATATATTATTACTTAAATGCATCAAGATTTTGGTGAGTTGAAGCGAAATCATGACAATATGTGTGTGCGTGTGTTGTATTTTTTTTCAATATTGGGTTTAGGCTCAGAATCCTTTTGTTTGTTTGGGTTATAGTTTTTCTTATTTGGTTGGGTTGTAATTCTTCTTTAGAATAGGTTAGGTTCAAAATTCATGTCTTATTGGGTTGAGTTGTAGTTCTTTTCTTATTGAATTGGATAGTAATTGGGTTTCATCTACATAATTTTGTATCAGAACAATTCGTATTGCTTGAAAGGGCTATTGAATTAATATTTGTGTTGTCCTGTTTAGATTCAATTCCATTTCATTTGGGCTATTGGATTAATATTTTTGTTGTGCTATGAGACTTTTTTTTTTTTTTTTTTCTCTTCGAATGTGATATTTTCTTTTAAGTTTGTTTATATAATAAATAATAAATGTTAATATCAATATTAAATTCAATGAGATTAAAAAAAGTAAAATTGAAAAATAAAATATCTGCTCACATAGTTTTCACTCTTCAAAATTGCATTACAATATCAATTCAAAAGTACTGAGCAATGCAATACCATTTGAATATACTCTATACTTGTAATACCATATTCCTATACTTCATACTTGTAATATAAGAAGTATTGCTACAGCATACTTCTAAAAAAACAAAAAAAAAAAAAAATAAATCAAATCACAATACTACTTCAGATGCACTTGAATAAAATGAGACAAACATAATACTACAATTTGAACTACAATAACAATACTAAAGAAACAAATTTCAAAGTACACTTGCATCTTCATTATACAATATTGAATCCAAAACACAACTGTTCAAATATTCCAAATGGACAAGTTTTCTAGCTGCCATAACAAATTATCAAAATAACCCAAACATTAGATTTTTTGAAAACAAAAAGAAAACATCAAGTTTCTTCTCCAATCTCCAAAATACGCTTTACTACAAAATTTGCAATAAAACATGCCCCAATCTCCAAATTTCAATTTTGTCTGTCTCTCAATGAGCCCTGTTAAAGGCAAAAAAAAAAAAATAAATAAATAAATAAAAAAAAAATTGAATTAATATTCTTTTACCTTTGATCAAATTAAAATATCATCGAGATCATACTATTCTTATACCTGAGATGAATGCGGAAATGGATATCCGAATAAATTGAGTTGACCATGTATATTTTCAGTGCCTCCCTGCAGAACAAATATATAAATTAATACAAGTATTTTTTCATGTGTTTACTAGGAAAAAAAATCTAACCCCTGGAGTTGGATATTGCCATGGTGCTTGACTTGACCCGGACTGAGGTGAAAATTGTGGAGCTTGGAATGGAAATTGATGTGGCGCCACATTCGGGAACTGGGGTAGCGGTGTACTAGGGAACTGAGGTAGCGGCACATTACGAACTCGAGGTGACGATTTCTGTGAGGAGCTTTGAATGCCTTGTGTACTTTGAACTTTTCTTTTTGATCCTTTTTCACCTGAAAATAAGTAAATTCGATCAAGTAAAAAAAAAAAAAAGAACATTGGTTTTTTTATTTGAAATACAATTCAATATTATTTAGCTAAACCCAAAACTTACTTGAAGTATCCCCATGCGTCTTCAAAATTTTTTTTCCCTTTTTGCTATTTTTATCCCAATGACGAGTAATGCATGCATTAGTTAATCCTCTCGACTTGGCCGTAAGTGGATTGCGTATATGAATCCTCTGCTCGTTACCCTCATTTTCAACATCATCATGCATACCCGAATCTTCAAGATCCAAATTTTGAATAAAATCAACAATTTGGTCTCTTGTCGAATCAAGCATTGTGGTCAACATGTTCCGTGCCTCCAAGTGAGATTTGCTCATGTGAGCAAGATTATAAGCCGTTCTCATTACTTGGTTTACAAAGACAAGATCGGATTCTTCACCACTTCCACAAGAAACATTAGTAGCCTTGAAATCATTAAAAATCCTCAACCTTGCACATTTCATCCACCTCTTCAAAAGAAAAGCCTCTGGTATCGCAGTTACATCCATGTAGTTAAACACCATTAAAACATGCTTGCACAAAATTCCCATGGTCTCAAACTTGTGACAACTACACCTTGTCTCATTAGTTTGAGTATTCATCGAAACATGCCTTACTCTTAAGCTATCACTGTGGGATTTCACTCGAAACTCTAGTGAAGAACCATCATTACCATTACTAAAAGGTTGGCCATCAAATTTGCGATTCAAAGAACTAACAAGTTCAATCTCAAACAACCCATAAATGGCAAGCGTGTACATACTTGCAGCCTGATTAAGCAATGGGTGGGTCTTAAGAATTTGAGAAGGTTTGCCATGACGACAACGAGTGTCTTCAACCTTCTCTTTTGTGCGCCACTGATTCTGAACTTTTTCATAATTCATCACGAACTCATATAAAGTGCTACTCTTGCTACCGGCTTGTTTTAATACTTTATTTGCATTCTCACTCCTCGATGTAGCCAAAAGTCCGGCACTGAATAACTCGTTACTTAAGCTGTAGCCCATTTTCTCCTAAGCTTGTACATGCCATTCAACCATTTATGATCATGCAAACGATATGAATCTACCATAAATTTCCAAGTGTTCTCAAACTCTTCCTCAGATTTGCAATGAGACATGCACTTATACCATAAAGCCTTGAAGGATGAACTACCATTTAAATTCCCAAAGTGTGAAGGGGAATTTTGATTTATATGCCACTGACACAAACGATGATGAGAATTCGGGAAAACATTTTCTATTGCATTCATCATGGCTTGACATTGATCAGAAAATATTATTTGAGGTTGTTTACCATTCATTGAATCAAGAAATGTTGTGAACAACCATTCAAATGAACTTTGAGTTTCATCCGACATAAAAGCCAAGCCAAACAAAACATTATTCCTGTGGTGATTTATGCCAATAAATGGAGCACATATCAAATTATACTTATTTGTTCTATAAGTAGTATCAATGGACAAAACATCACCAAAGTACTCGTAGTCCACCGCACACCTATAATCTCTGAAGAAAAAGTTCATCACCCTATCATCTTCATTCAACTGCACATTCCAGTAAAAGAAAGATTCTGTATTTGCCTTACTTATAAAATGTTGAAGTAGTGCACCGGCATCCCCATTTTCAATTTTTGTATGCTTCTTTAACCTCCCAAAATGGTCATATGCATCCTTTCTAATGAAGTCTAAATTTTCAGGCCCATGTGCCTCATTCTCCATATAAGAAACAGCACTAGCAACAGATATTCCAGCATTTACCATTGCTTCCAAAGTTGATTTTTTGGCATGAGAAATGTTACGAGCTGACCTTAACAAATGAGTTTGGTCTGGAGCAAACATTTCATGATTATGTTCAACAACAAATTTACTCACTTGCCAATCACCCCCTTTCGGCCTCTTAATCTTAAGTTGTGCTTTACATGAAGTTCTAGTTATCGGCTTTTGATAAATTGGTATTTTTTTACTAGAACGTTTTTAATCTTTTTCACCAGCACAAGAACAACCAAAGATCTTCAACTGAATTTCACTACTGCGGGGAAAACAACGTTGATCTCCTTTTCTGACGCTAAATCCTTTAGCATGTGCATATTGACAATAAAGCAAATAAGCATCTTCAATACTATTCACCAATGCACCCACAGCTAATTTAGCCTCCAGAACATCAACCAAATTATTTGAAGATTGTACCTCGCCATCGGGCGCCTCCAATCCGGGATGCTCCAAATCAACACCAAAAAAGTCATGTGCTCCAATATTGGCTCCATTCAAATCCTCTTCTAAAACTGATGAATTGTTGTCCATATTCCTACAATTTTCGCAGAAAAAAATAATTAAAAAAAAAAAAAGAAAACCAGTAGTTCTGTTTTGACCCTCAATTCGGGAAAACAACACAATTGGGGGTGGGAATGGGTGGTACCGGGCTACTGACCAGTTTTCCGGCAGGGTGGAGTCGGGCGTTGAGGGAAGTCGCAGTAGTGACGGAGCGCCGGGGTGGTTAAGTGTCGGCCAGGTGTGACGGGCGGGCCCAAGGCGGAGATGGGTCTGTGGCCGGGGTGGTGACTGGCGGGCCCAAGGCGGAGATGGGCTCTGCCCGGGGTGGAGTAGAGCAGTGAGGGGAGTCGAGGTAGAGACGGAGTGCCGAGGTGGTGTCGGACGGTGACGGGGTGACGGGGCGCCAGAGTCTTGTCGGGCGGCGCAATAGTCCCGTTCTTTGTTTGAAATTAGGGCTAATTTTTTTGTTTAATTGTAATTTTAACAGTCCTTTAATTGTGGTAAATTGGTAATTGTAATTCTGGGATTAGTTATATTAACCAATAACCACAATTTAAGTTGGTTGGTTATATCAATATTCTTATTAAAAAAAAAAATGTTATAAAAGTAATCAACAGAACATGAACGGATGAAAAAGAAAAATAATTAAATAAGTAAAGAGACATGTGTCACCATTTGAAGATGTGAAGGTAGTACCAGTACTTGTAGCATCGAATTTTCCAATTAATTGATGCGCTTTGTAATAAAATAGAACAAATAAACTTCAAGTAAAAATATGTCTCATTTCAAATTTAAATTTAAATACTAAATTTCTTATCATTTTGTTACATTAAAATTCTGAATGAATTGTTTGCCTTAAAATCGGAAAAAATAATAATTGCATGGAATTCAAGTAAAAACATGTCTCATTTAAAATTTAAATTTTAAATTTCTTTATCATTTTGTTACATTTTCGGATAATTTGTTTCCTGCAAATCTGGCGGAATTAATAACTGCATAGAATTCAAGTATGATTTCGAATTTATATCAAGGATGTTTAATAATTGCATAAAATTTCAAAGATGTTTATTTATTATAAAAAAATTAAATTCTAAAAAAACATTTGTGTGTGTTTTGTAAAATATTTGTACAAAATATGTAACTTTAAATAAATTTACATAATTTAAATTAATTACATTAATAAATAATATTAACATACATTAAATATTTTAATTACATAAAACAAAAGGAAGAAAAGACTACATTTATAACCTGTATAAATAATTATAATAACATTATATTACAATAAATTTTATAATAAAATAATATGAATATTATACGAGGAACAAGATTACGTAAAATTGTTATTTTTATTATATCAAGGAATAAATATATATAATGAAATCAAATTTATATTATTATAAACATGTGAGCGAGATAATATATAAATTAATTTGCGGGCTAGCGCTACCAGGCTCAGGTTTTAATATCCCGACAAAAAAAAATGAAGTTGCTGAAAAGAGGTAAAAAAAAAATAGATGATAAAACTCTATCATTTTTTAGATTTGAATGGACGAGCCCTATGGTCCACTCATTTAATATCTCCCGTGAATCGCACGTGCTACTTAACAGCCAAGCTATGTGGAAATGACTCATTTAATACTTTTGTCCCGTGCATCGCACGGGCTACATACTAGTTCAAATCATATATGATCAAGAATATTGTTTGCTTATATAATTTTATTAATATATGCAATAATTTCATTGATATCCATTATAATAAATTACAAGATTGATTTTTTGTGATTCATGTTGATTATATAGTAGTTAAGATAAATATAACAACATATTTTAAGTTTTAACCATAATATTAATTTTTTTCACAAATATTCACTTTTTATCTAAAAATATTTATAGAAAATCGTAACAAGTTAGATAAAACTTTTCTTCCAATTAATAAGACGATCATGGTGGTAAATTAATGTTTGTCAATATAAATTTTTTATTAAGCTTTATTCGCTATATATAAAAAATAAGTTATTCTTCAAATTATTTCAATATACCATTTAAGAGATAATGACCAGATACATTAAATAATTTTATTAATTGTCAAAAATTAAAATTGAAATATATTAATTGTTCTTTATAATTTATTTGTATATTATTGGCAACCATGATTATCTTTTTTTATAAATTTTTTATTTTGATTTTTTCTATAATGAAATTAATGTAAAATATACGTACAGAATATGGTAAATAAACTATAAATCATTGTAATGCAAAATAATAGAATCTTGATTATAGAAGGGATTGAGTTTTTGGCATTTGTTAAATTAAAGTTGTTTAATTAGTATACGTAAAAAAAAAATATGTGTGTATATTTTACAAAATATTTATCACTATTTAATTTTAAATTTATTTACATATTTTAAATTGATTACATAAATAGATAATCCTATTGTGCATTAAATATTTTTCATTACATGAAGTACAACTTCTTTTATAAATAAAAATGACATTATATGAAAAGAAAGTTTATAATAAAGTAATAATTAACAAGAATAAGTAAAACTATTATCTCTCTTATATCAAGGAACAATTATATATACTAAAATTAAATTTATATTAGTACAAATGTGTATATTAATAATTTTACAAGTTAGCTTTAACATGCTCATATTTAATGTTCTGGCTAAAAACACAACGTTGATCTAGAGAGGTGTAAAATAGATTATAAACTTATATTTTTTAGACTTAACGATGATTAAAAGATGCAAAAAATAGATGATAACCCTATTGCTCCCCTTTAATATAATTTTAAAATGTGCTGAGCCTAAATAGCTGACCCACACGCTTCGGAAGCTTACTTGGCAACATTACATGCTTCGAAAGTTTGGTTTGGATAAAAATTAATATAATTTTATTTCAAAACAATTAGGTTCGGACATACTATATTTACATTCCCTAGCTAATTGTCTAAAACAAATTACATGATACAATACTTAAATAAATATAAACCGATTCTGTCCATTACACTAATAATATGCAACGCCCGTGAAATATATTTTGAATCCTTCCATTGCTATAATATGAATAGTTCTTTCTTATTTGAAATATATGTTTTTTGATACAGTTGAAATCCTATACACTAATCATTCATGCTCAATTTTTCGGTATGATGTGAAATCCGATCCAAGCATTCCATATGCTCAATTTTTTTATGGTACTATTCATCTTCAGCTTTTCATTAATATATATTATTCCAAGATTGTAATACCACAATAATATATATCATCCCCTTCATTTTGACGTCCATTATTCATAAGAAAAAAAAAAAAAAAAATCATGACAACTGTTTTCAATACAATTGAAGAAATCATCGGATAAAGAAACATGGAAAACACGCGTCCGTTGCTAGGAATTTTAACGAGAGGGGCCCAAATAATAATAGCAAAAAAATAGAAAATAAAACATCAATTGAAAATAAATAAGTACAAGTACCGACTAAATAAACATAAGAAATATATCTGAGTATTCAAAAAATAACTTACGATGACATTGAGAGGTCACACCATTTCTCTTATATTTTTCGTGTTTTGAAATCGTTTCATGATAGCCTCATTACTAATGTTCCAATATATATCTTTCTCGATGTAAGACACTAAACAATCATTTAAAAGCTCATTGCCGATTGGTTACATAGTATACATTTGATGATTTTATTGCCGAAAATTTTTTCCACTGTAGCAGTGGCAACCGGTAAAATCAACAACTTAATCAACAAGTAAGCTAATAGAAAAACATCATTTTTTTTAGATACCATCTTTTGAGAGATCTCCAATAATGGCAATATTCGAGAAGTTTTCATCCAAGCGCATATAAAAAATAAATTTCGAGCAAAATCTCCAACAATGGTTATTTTTATCGGTTTCTCAAATCTCATGGGTTTTATTTTAATTTTTTATTTTTATTTTTTGGGCATACTCTTCAATCTTCCATCCGATTTTACTAAGTATTTTATTTTTTTTATCTTTTTTATATTATTTCAAATTTACTGAAATACCCCTAATTATTTTGAAACTTTCAGGGGACCTGGTGCCCCACCTGGGCCAGCAACAGCTCCGCCAATGGTTGTGAGCGTGTATGGTTCAAACATGACACGAACCAACCTCAAAATCGTATGACAAATCAGATTTGTGTCTTAGATGAAAAGGTACATTATGATTTTAATATTTTCTTGTTTTAGGAGCAATTTTTTTTTTTTTTTTTAAAAAAAATAATATTTCCTTGTCTAATAATACGACTTTAATTATATTCTTATAGGGTGGAAAGATTCAAGCGACCACTCTGAGTTGGTGCATCTCCAAATATGAAGATATTATAAAAGATGGGTCATTTTACATATTGACAAATTTCGAGATACAAGAAAACACAGGTGATTACAGCCTTCCCACCATCGATATATGTTAAAATTTCACGAGTGTACGTTGGTTAGACCCTCCGAACCTCGAGATATCCCTCGCTATAAGTTCAATTTTGTAGAATTTAGCGGATTGAGAAGCAACTCTGACTACACGAGGCTCTTATGTGGTACGCAACTTTATTTTAACATCTATTAATTTTGTACATCCTAATATAATTATAATATATTTACTTTTGTTATTTGATTTAAACATAGATATCATTGCGGAGGTCAGAAAAATTGAGGAAGACGTTAAGTATGAACGCAATGGTCATGAAACAACCAGGCTTAAGACATATCTATGTAGCTTGAGGTTAGTATTATTTATTATTTATAGCTTTTTTTAGTCACATTTTTATCACTTTTCTAATAAATAATCATTATTTATTTTATGGGTTGTGTAATGACACCAGGTTAGTCATCACTCGACTTGGAGACCTCATTGTTGAGGCTAGGGTTCTATTTGGAAGGAATATTGGGAGCTAAGTATTATTTCGCGGATGTTATTGACTCCTTCTGATGTGAAATTGCCTTCCAAGTTTCAACGAAGACAATTTCCACTTATGGTTTGTTTTGCAATGACTATTGA